CCTCTCCCCTGTCCAGAGAACAATCTGGGGATCTCTCCTTGGACCTGGGATCCCATTTATAATCAAGTCTCTAGTAAACCCTAAACTGACTCCCTTAGTTGAGATATATTCTTCCCTGATCCCATATCTATCCTTCCTCCCTCCCCCCTCCCAGTCCCCCGAGCATTCCCCCTTCCTCCCCTGCTCCCTCCTCTCTAACCCTCTCCCCTTCCAACAACCCTCCTACCCCCCCCCCCATGCACCCGAGGTTACCTGGAACTCTTGTCTATTTCTAATCTCCAGGAGGAAAACTACCTGAATTTTCTTCAGGTTCACCCTCCTATCCAGCTTCTCTAGGATCACGAATAATAGGCTCAAAGATATTTAATTATGACTAGAATCCATTTATGAGTGAATACATACCATATTCCTCTACACCACAATCAGAATTTAGGAGACCAGACAGGAGGAACAATGAAACTGAAAAGAAGGTCAGATATCAATCCACACATCTTCGAATACCTGGTTTTTGACAAAGAAGCAAAAAATATCAAATGGAAAAAGGAAAACATATTTAACAAGTGGTGCTGGCATAACTGAATTTCAATGTGTAGAAGAATGAAAATAGACCCATATCAATCACCATGCAGAAATCTCAAGTCCAGATGGATCAAAGACCTCAAAATAAAGCCAGCTATACTGAACCCTATAGAAGCAAAAGTGGGAAGTACACTTGAATGCATTGGCACAGGAGACCACTTCCTAAATATAACCCAGCAGCACAGACACTGAAATAAACAATTAATAAATGGGAACTCCTAAAATGGAAAAGCTTCTGCAAAGCGAAGGACATGGTCAGCAAGACAAAATGATAGCCTACAGAATGGGAAAGGAACTTCATTAACTTCACATAAGACAGAGGTCTGATCTCCAAAATTTACAAAGAACTCAAGAAATTGGTCACCAAAAAAACAAATAATCCAATAAAAAAACAATGGAGTACAGACCTAAACAGAGAACTCTCAACAGAAAAATCTAAAATGACTGAAAGACACTTAAGGAAATGTTCAACATCCTTATTCATCAGATCAAATCAAAACAACTCTGAGATTCCATCTTATTTCTGTAAGAATGGCCAAAATCAAAAACGTTGATGACAACTTATGCAGGAGAGGCTGTGGGGAAAAGAGATACTTCAGCATTGCTGGTGGGAATGCAGCCCCTTTGGATGTCAGTGTGGCGTTTTCTCAGAAAATTAGGAAACCACCATCCTCAAGACCCAGTAATACCACTTTTGGGTATATATCCAAAGGATGCTCAAATGTGCCACAAGGATATGTGCTCAACTATTTTCATAGAAGCTTTGTCATAGCCAGAACCTAGAAACAACCTAAATGCTCCTCGACTGAAGAATGGATAAGAAAAATGTGATACATTTACACAATGGAGTACTACAGAGCAGAAAAGATATGACATTTTGAATTTTGCAGAAAAATAGATGGAGCTAGAAAACATTTTGAGTGTGTAACCCAGACACAGAAAGACAATTATCACATGTATTCACTCATAGGTGGTTTCTAAACATGAAACAAAGAAAGTCAGCCTACAAACCACAATCTCAGAAAACTTAGACAACAATGGAGGCGCTAAGAGAGACATACAGAGATCTGATCTACATGGGAAGTAGAAAAAGACAAGATCTCCACATGGGGACCTTGGGGGAGGGTTGAATGGGGAGGGGAAAGGCAGGGAGGGGAGCAGAAAAAAAAGTAGAGCTTAATAAATTTAAAAAAAAATAGAAGATCAGTAACCAAATAACCACCTAGGAAATCAACAGGGATATACAATGCCTATGACTTCCCTAGCTATTGGGTTTTGACTAGGTTTATAGTAACAGATATAAATTTCATCCTGTAAAGCAGGCCTGACATCTAATTAGTAGTCATTGGCTCTCATCATAGGATTCATACTGATATTGTACACTGGACATATCTTATTTAGCAAGTATACTAAAGTACCCACAGATAAGTACTAGGGGCATAAAAAACATCCTATAACATAGTAAGAAAGCTTACAATGAAGTTTAATTTTAAATGTTTAAAAAGCCCTTTACAGAAGCTTATGTCTTATTCTCTATAAAGCTAAACTTTCACTTGTTTACTGCACATATGAGACCTTTCTCTTTGGTTTTTAGTCTTTGTAGATCATATATTTTTCTGATAAAAAATTTCTTTGTTTTCTTTATGCACGTTTACTTTGTTTCATTTTTATTTTACTTTTTAAATTACTATCCTTAACATAAGACATAAATATAAAAGTGTTGCTATAATTCTTTTCCTTATACTATTTCTTCATGTTTTGTAAAGCGTGGTTACCCAGAACTTCCTTTGACCTAAGGGACTCCATTTTAAAGGCAGGTTTGGCACCATTTTTGATACAGACTGTTTGTGTCCTTGAGTGTTTAAGTAAATGATGCCATCTCTCTGGAACCACACATTTAGTACGGATTCTTAAATGACTTATTCTTTGGTACACACTGTGTACCAACCTATGAATTTATTGTGGTGAAATGTGGTTATATGGTGCACAGGCTACTAGCATTCTATCAGAAAAACAAACCTAAGAATAATTCTCAAGAAATTATAAGAAATATCAGACCTAGAAAGTGGTATAACTTCCTCATTAGGACCCTATTAAAAATGACAAAAAAGGATTTAATTAAATGAAAATGGGTATCTACAGCAACTGAAACAATGAACCAAAGAGTCATCTATGGAATGTAAGATATCTTTGCTGGACCTAAACAGGCATAGAATAATATCTAGAGTATATAAACATTAAAAAAAAGCTAAAAGAGAAAATGTTTTAAATTTCCCAAAATATAAACAGATTATTGAAACACTCAATTCACAAAAGGTGATATGCAGGTATCTACTCAATAGAGTAAAACATTCTACCAAACTGGAGATCAAATAAAATTGGATCTAAACTAAACTATGATTGCATCTAGACACACTGTAAATTTTAATCATTGAAAATAAATAACAGGGCTGGAATGGTAGCTTAGCGATTAAGAAAAATTAAAGTTTCAAAGGAAATAACAAACTTTTCTGCATTCCAGTCCCTCATTACTTCCTGTTATGGACATAAATTCACATAGACACACACCAATATACATAAATTGAAACTCAAAATAAAGGAAAGAAATACCTCAAACATGTGAGAACAAGAAAAAAAGAGATAATTTTTCTATTTTTGTGGAATGTAGAAAAATCTAGTCTCTAGTGAAGGAAACATTAAAAATCATTTTTTCTGAACTAAAAATAAATAATCCATGTGGTCAAGCTATAGAAATTTGGGGTAATGTTCAAATGTTTCTATATTATCAGATCACAGAAGAACTGGCACATAGTTGTTCATTTCAGCATGGTTAATAATGGGCAATTGGGGAGAGCAAACTAAGTATCATTTGCAAAAGGAATTACTAAAAAATGTGGCATATAAACACACAATAGTTGTTATGGAAACACATGAAGAAAAACAAATTATGCCCTTTAGAGGAAAATGTATAGAATTGAAAAAACATAATTCTTCTCAGAAATATGACTTTATTACTGTCATTCATGAATGATTGCCTGTTTTGTCTGCCGTTAGTGGACTCTGTATTTTATTCATGTTCATGTTTCAACTCATATATGTATATAAGTGCACTATGTGTGTGTATATATATATATATATTACAATGTGTGTTAGAAATAGAGAAAGGCCAAGAAAACTTTGGAAGTAGGACATTAGGAGGAAGTATACTGAAAGTATCTTATATAATGTCAAGACACTAGCTTATATAAACTAGTAGTTTATATGAGAAATATATACTGTTATGTATTTGTAGAAATGGAAAGAAACACAGCATATCCTAAACATAGATAGTCAGGATGCCTACTGATCAAATTCTATAATAGTATCAATAGTTTTATTATAGATGTAAAATTAAATGACAATATTTTCAGTCATCCTAGGTTTGAAAATTAAATCCAAAAGAGCATAATTTGTTACTAGGACGCAGTTATGTTACCAAGACACATGGTAGGTTCAATGTTGCTTTCAAAGTTTATTGATTAGCCATCTCAAAGTTTACCAAAATTCTGATGTAACACTGTAAATTTCATTACTTAACATACAATTTGCCATTATAACTGTTAAATATAATATGGTATTAAACAAAAATACTAAGAAATACAGATGTGAAGATTAGGGACAATGCAAATTACATTTATTGATATTTCACATGAAAATAGACTGATTAAGCTTACTGTATTTATACAGAGATTGTGATACACATTGCATTTTCTTCATGGCGAATGTGCATAAATATACCTGCTTAAACTGTTGACAATAGATAAGAATTGAATACTCAGTTCTGTACAAGACACCTATATTCCAAATAAAGTTCTAGGAATATTAGAAAAGGAGACACAAAGGATTAGAGAGGGACAGGAAGGGGAGAGTACTTAGAAGATACCAACAATTGAGCTTAACAAAGTAAAGGGGATTTTAAAGAAACAGCTTCTGTTCTTCCCTTCACTGGGCCAGAATGAAACCGGATATATTAAATATATGTTATGAAAATGAAGAGGAAACTTTCTCTGCCTACAGAAATCTCATCTGCTAGCAAATTCAGTGAGAGCAGGAGTCAGTGCCCTCAGTTAATTACATATAATATAGTCAAACGTGTGGTCACACAGAGAGCCTCAATTCATCTCCATAGTTTATGAAAGAAAATAAAAAGACATATGTGGGGAAGGATTAGGATGGAGGAGCTGAGTTTTGAGAGAAGTAGAGAATGTATTATACACATGTAGTTAGTTAGTGTATTCTATAGAAAGTAATTTTATACTAATTTTTAAAACTAACAAAGAGAGGTCAAAACAGTAAATAACATCCTAAAGCACAAATACAGATGTAACAGTCTATGTGAGAACAACGGTTGCAATTCAATCACTGTACCTAAATCCATTGCACTATGCTCTAAGCAATAATCTTCTCAGAGCTGCAATCACATCTTTGTTCCTAAGGCTGTATATCATGGGGTTGAACATGGGGGTCACAATGGTGTAAATAAGAGAGAGGAGCTTGTCACTTAATGCAGAATGTGTTGACTTTGGCATTAAGTAAGTAATAGATGCAGAGACATAAAACAAAAGCACCACCACCAGATGGGAAGAACATGTGGAGAAGGCTTTTGCCCGTCCTTGAGCAGTTGGCAGTCTAAGGATGGTGGCAATAATTTTGCTGTATGATGTTAATATTAATATAAAAGGGATTGCAGCAAGCAAGATAGCCACTACATAGACATACAGCTCATTAACAGAAGTATCTCCACAGGCCAGCTTAAGCACAGGGGGTATGTCACAGAAGAAGTGGTCTATCTTGTTAGAGTTGCAGAAGTGTAGAGAGAATATCTGACATGTTTGCCCTAGCTGGAAAGGTATGCCACCAAGCCAACAGCCCACTGCCAGTTGTGTGCATTTCGTCTGGTTCATGACCAGAGGATAGTGCAGAGGGTTGCAGATGGCCACATAGCGGTCATAGGACATCACAGCTAGGAGAATACTGTCAGTAGCTGCCAGCATTAGGAAGAAATACATTTGTGTGGCACAGGCCAGAAGAGAAATGCTTCTATCCTGGGTCCAAATGCTATACAGAACCCTAGGGAGAGTGACTGAAACATAACAAATTTCCAGAAAAGAGAAATTTGTCAGGAAAAAATACATGGGATTGTGTAGTGTAGAATCTATTCTGGTTATCACAATTATGAAGCTGTTTCCAATTAGGATATTCACATACATTATGGAGAACATACCAAATAGAAAACCCTGGAGTTTGGGAAGGTCAGAGAATCCCAGGAGGAGAAACTGTGTAACTGTGGATGCATTGTCCTCTTTCTTGATGTCTGTGTGTTTCATCTGTAGAGATGATTCAACAAGAAGTACACTTCCTTATCATCATCTATGTTATATCATTCTGAAACTGATGTCTTCACATTTGGATATTTGCATGTTCTCAGTTCATCTTGCAAATATATTTACATATATTTATGTATATATTTGCATAAATATGTATATATGTTTTCAAGATATATACATAGAAAAAGTCTTTTATTCACTTAAAATTTATCTAGAGAAAAATTTATTCTATGTTTTCATGTGGTTTTCTAAACTCCTTTTTACCCAATAATCCTTTATATATGCTATTTCATATATTGCAAATTTAATTAAAAATTAATGATAAGCTGAGAACTACGATTGATGAGATTTTATTTTACATTTAAAATTTTTGTAAGTTTGTTGTAAAAATCTATGCAATCAGAATTCATATTCTTTATATTTATGGATATTTTTAAAATTATTTGTAAATCAAAAGATATAGTGATTAGAGCTTTTTTCAAATAGTACATACTCTGTAGTTTCATTTGATTGTGGTGCAAAAGCTGAAACCATAACTTTATGCATTCAAGACTAGCTGTCTACTCCCAAGCAATTTCCCTAGCTCCTGTTAGCAAGTTATAGACACTAATTGCCTAAACAATCTGCTTCAAATCGCTTAACATTTCTCTCTGTGTTTTTGTCTCTTCCCTTCTATCTCTCTCTTGTCTTTGTATATAGGTGAGTCAGTTAACAACTTTCAAACTTTCATTTTTATACTAAGAAAGAAATTCAGTAGAAATTTTAAGTAACTGTAAGCATTTGATTTTAATTAATATGTTGTGAATATTAGCTGCTATCACATTTGAAATAATGATTTTTTAATGTGGACATTGTGGTATTAATTAAAATCCTTAATATAGATTGTATTAAGTTTAACTAATGAACTTAAGAAATTAAAAATAATATTAAGTAAAAATAGAGATGACTTTTCTGCATCTACTGATATAAGCATGTGATTTTTTATTTACGTCCATTATAGTAATTATAGTTCAAAAAATTAAAAATTATATAAAATGTATATTGTATCATTATATAATTGTCTTAATTTTGGAGAGTTTTCTAATGACAAAATTCTGTAGAACCAAATGAAAATATGCTAATATTTCTATAACATTTTCAGATTCACTGCTGTAAAATCTTAACAGTATGCCACAAGGAACTATTTCAATCACTATAGGTGTCAAGCCCCTATCAATGATCTTCAATCAACGTTTTCATTCTCTATTTTTATAATTGGAATTTTAGAATATATGTTCTCTAACTGTTATATCATTGAAACATTTAAACATATACTTAACATAACATAATGATGTAACACATCTTAGCACATACTATGGTGAAAACCATGATTCTTAATGTATTAATCTTCCATATTAAACTGGACTGTATATGCTGTTTTATTTGCATCTTATATCACCAAATGTCAGGAAAGTCATAAAAAGCTTAGCAGAAATGGTTTATAAAGCTTCACCAAAATAAATGATTTAATTTTTCTTTTCATTACTTTGTGTAATTTTATCCAAATGCTGATATTATATACATATATATATATATATGTATATATATGAGCACAAATATGTTGCCCGTTAAACATAGACTATGCTGTTTGGAATTAGGCAAATTGTTATTCTTACCTTGATTTATTGACATACAATAGTAAAATTATAAAGAAGTTTATTTTTCTAAAGTCAAGAGTTTTCCTTTATTTGAAACAGAGGTCAAATACCTTCCAAAATATATTCTCCTGACATAACATACTATTCTATTTAAAAAGGAATGTTCTCTACCCTGGGGACAACTCCTTTCCCAAGTTAATTTAGAATTGTAGAGAATTCCTTTCTCCTGTCATTCATTACTTCAGTATAACATGAACCAGAGATGGAAAATATTTTAAATTTGTAGGGATGCTTTTATTGTAGCATTGAAGAATGAAACTTAGGCTTTCTGATGGAAAAGAAACACTCATCTACTGAGTCAAATTTCCAGCTCTGTTATTTATTGAGGTAAGGGACCAATAGATGACAAAAAAAATGCTGTGATAAACCTACCTATGACTTCATTTGTCTGAAATCAGCAGATTTCTGACACATACCTAAGTTTAACTTCATTTTATATAAGACAGTTTATGTAAGACATTTCATGTAAGACAGTTGAACAAGAATGAACGTATACCCTTTCTAAGAGTAAATTAAAAGGTACATTTTGACACCACAGACACAACAACATTTTGATGTCTTATATATGTCTTTCATTGAAAAATATATTGCCTAATATGGGCACATTTTTTTCATCTGATAAATTCATTACTTAGTTTATAAAACTATCCATGTTCAATTTTAAACTATTTGAACCAGGAAATGTATACAGAATTTCATGTAACAATAACACATCAAAAACTAGTTGTAAATTTACAGCCACTGGGAGGATAGACTACTAATTTACCTGATACCTGGGCAACCATTGATGGACTAGATTTCTCAGGATTTAACAACAATTGCATTCAGATGTTACAGTCTTGAATCCAACTGTTCATTCTTTGAGTTCCCCATTAATGAGTGCCCTTTTTGACTCCAAATTCCTATGAAAAATTTTGATCAAAACCACAAAAAACTTATAAATACAGATTAACTCACATTCACAGATTAAATGGAAGAAAATACTAAATGACTGTGAGAATCTGTAATTAATTTCCAGAAAGTTGTGACAGTGATCAGAGAATTTTTGACAAAGAATTGTGTATTGTCATCGAGTCTACATGCTGATATTTTTCCCAATGATGGAAGAATATGTATCAGTTTGCCAGTTTTAAATACTACAGTTTATATTAATGTGGTTAAATTCTAGATATTCACTTACTGGTATAACTGTAAGTAATTTTGTTTTCCCTCATGTTTATATCACTCTCTGTTGGTATTAAGCATCTTGATGTCTTTTTTCTGTTTATTACCTTACTGAACTTTGATGCTATTTGCAGATTTTGTAAAAAGATAAATAGCAATTAGGGCATGAATGTTAGAAATTAATTTTTATTTTAACTAAACAAGGCAAATGACACCTACAATTTTTAAATTTTATTTCCAAAATTTTACAGTATTTATACTCCCAACACACATAAAGTCTCACCAGTTTGACTAACTAAAGTTTTCTAACAAGGACAACAACAATAGACATACTAAGGTTGACTGAGAAATGGCCAGAATGCCTGAACTGTACCAGAAAACTAAAGACAACTATAGCATGCTGAGAGCAAAAGAAATAGTCTTCTGTATTCACCAGACAAGAGCACTTCAGTTGGTTATCCAATATCAAACGATCAGTCTTGAAAACATACAAAAAGTAACATGATACAGATTGAGCAGGTTGTATTTAGGAATATATGTATCTACACATATATGTTATAAGGAGGCCACTTGGTTGTGCCAGCCATTAAGACCAGAAATAATCAAAAAGAAAACATTATTTAAATCATTGATTGGCCCATTAGCTCTAGCTTCTTATTAGCTAACACTTACTTCTAAATTTAAATCCATTTCCATTATTTTATATTTTACCATGAGGCTCATGGCCTACCAGCAAGGTTGCAGCATTTCTGTCTCTGGCAGCAGCTCCATAGCTTCTCTCTAACTTCACCCTTCTTTCTCCCAGAATTCAGTTTAGTTTTCCCTACCTACTTCTATTCTTTTGGCCTATCAGACCAAACCAGTTTCCTTTACTAATTTATCAATCATATTCACAGCATACAAAGGGGGAATTTCATATCATATATATATATATATATATATATATATATATATATGTCATATTATAATAATATAATAATGTCATATTATATATATAGTATAATATTCATATATATATATATATATATATATATATAAAGTTTTAATACTAAAAGAGATTGTGAAATTGAAAGAAATGTAGAAGCAGTATGTGGGAGTCTCTGGAGAAAGGCTTCCAAAACAGCCTGGTCTACAGAGTGAATTCCAGGACAGTCAAAGATATACAGAGAAACTATGTTTCAAAAAATCCAAAAATGAAAAATAAAAATAAAAGAAATAGAGGTTAAAATAAAGCCACATAAAGATGTAAAATACACAGAGAGTTGTAACATGAGGGCCTGCTTGGCTTCTGTCTTCCCACCAGGTCCCACGGCCTTTTAGCCCCAAAGAAAATTACCCAGAGGTCTACATAAGTTATAAACTGATTGGCTCATTAGCTCAGGCTTTGTATTAGCTCTTATAATATATATTAGTCCATTATTCTTATCTATGTTAGCCACATTGCTCAGTACCTTTTTGATCAGGGAAGGTCACATCCTGCTTCTTCAGTGTCTGGACAGGACTGTGGAAAAGCAGCCTTCTTCCCAGAATACTCCTGTTCTCATTGACCCATTTCTACTTTCTGTCTGGTTGTCCTGCCTATATTTCTTGCCTGGCTACTGGCCAATAATCATTTATTTAAAACATAATTGACAGAATACAGGATTGTCCCGCACCATTCCCTCCCCCATTTTTTAAGAAAACAAGAACATCCACAGTTTATTTTTTGTATTTCTGGGCAGAGTTTTCCAGGCTACTTCCTACTGTTTGGGGTGCTGATAATCTTTTGGGGACCTAAAGAAAATTCAGAATTATGATCAAGTCCTACATGTAGTGTCCTGTGAATCTTGATCATCTCAGGCAACAGTCTTTTTTTCATTTATTTATTTGTTTACTTACTTACTTACTTATTTATTTATTAAAAATTTATTTCCACCTCCTCCCCTCCTCCCATTTCCTCCTACTACCCCCATTCCCTCCTCCCTCTCCAGTCCTAGGAACAGTCAGGGTTCCCTGCCCTGTGGGAAGTCCAAGGCCCTCCCCTCGTCCATCCAGGTCTCGGAAGGTGAGCATTCAAACAGACTAGGCTCCCACAAAGTCAGTCCATGCAGTAGAATCAAAACGCTGTGCCATTGTCCTTGGCTTCTCAGTCAGCCCTCGTTGTCAGTCACATTCAGAGAGTCTGATTTGATCACAAGCACGTTCACTTCTGGATCTCTGGTATTCCTCTGTCTACACTCCAAAGATCCTAGTGACCTGCATCTCTGAAGACAAAAGCATCTCCTTTGCTGGATGTCTGTCTCAGTTCTTCTTCCCTGCTGGATTGGCCTATAGTGAATGCTTCCTACCATTTGCCATGGCTTATGACTGCTATGCAGCCATCTCCAATCGCCTACATTATGCTCAAACTATGTCAAAGGAGGTGTGCAGTTCTTTGGTTATATATTCCTATACAGGAGGATTTGTCAATGCAACTATATTAACCAGCAACACATTCACATTGGATTTTTGTGGTGACAATATCATTGATGACTTTTTCTGTGATGTTCCTCCTCTCATAAAGCTGGCATGTGATGTCAGGGAGAGTTACCAGTCTGTGCTGTACTTCCTTCTAGCCTCCTGTGGTGCACTCCTTGACCACCAAGGAAGAACGAGCACGAATTGAGGATTCTTCTCTGATCACACTTTATTGGAGCCTCTCGGTTGAAGGGAGAGCGGGGAATGGTGGAGAGAGAGAGAGAGAGAGAGAGAGAGAGAGAGAGAGAGAGAGAGAAAAGACAGCGAGAGGGAGAGCAGGCGAGAGAGAGAAAGTGAAAGAAAGAGGGACCCAAGCAGCAGCTGCTTTTCTAGGGTGGAGAGGCTCGGACATTGTCTTGATTGGTGAATACCATTTTGCTGAAGCCAGGGGCTTTGGGATAAGCAAGGGAACCAAGGCTCAATTATGCAAATGCAGGCCAAGGCCCACTCAGCAACTTCAAAAGGATTTGTTTACCTCCAAGCTGCAGGACCGCCTGCGCCATCTTATAATGGCGATTTCTTCAGGTGGCTCCTTACAGTTCCCCCTTTTAGTTTTTAAGAGCGATAAGGCAGAACCTATTTCCCAATCTGGTCCCCACCTCATAATGTGTGGATCGATCGAGGGAAATGAAAAAACAAGATATACCCTTCCCGTGCAATGGGATAAATTTTTCCCTGGGAGTGCAAGGGCTGTATCTATACACACTCGCCTATGCATACCTTCCACTGTGCAATGGGACTATCTGGTCCCTAGAGGGTGCAAAGGCTATGCATGGCATATTGCCTACGAGCTCTATAAGGCTGAAAGCCAAATCTGGGGTGAGGATCCACAATCCAAGACAGCCAAGGCTTGTGTCACAATGACCTTGTTCCTCCTCATTTGGGCTTGTAGACGGTACACCAACCACAGACATACCGCACATCCACCTAGGCAGCATGCCAAAAAATATCCCTATTTTCACCCATTCTGAAGGAAGGAAAAGGCAGAATAGAGTCAGTCAGAAAATTGCTCAAAGGTAAGAGGCTGCACACGGGTGCTGTTCAAGGTGATAATGTGAAATAGCTGCTCTTGTCACCACCCAGAGGGTCATCCCTGCTGCCTCCGCACGAATCTTCATCCTTTGCAGCATCCTTCACTTCTCTGGTCAGTCTTGCTGGCACCCAGATTAGATCCTCTCGATTCTGAGGGAAGACACAAACAGCTCCCCTGGATCTGGAAATCACTGGATCCGGTCTGTATCATTTGTTAACCAATACATCTTTCCACATGACCAAATCTTGCTCCGTAGAGCTTTCATACAGGGCATGCCTGTCTGCTGCTGTCTTTTCAGCAATGTTTTGAATTAAAAAAATTAAGTGTAAAGAGTGCAAGGGAGATCCTTTCTCTGGGGGACATTGCTTTAGTTATTCACCCTTTTTGTTTTTGGATTGGACACTGTACTTGAGCTGCAAATTGAGGCTGCAACCTCAAGAGAGGTCACAGCATTGACCACATATTGTGAATCTGAAATTACATTAAATGGCTCAAGAAATCTCTGAAACACCTCCAAAACCACCAAGCACTCAGTGACTTGGGGGGAATCAGGCCGAAATTGAAAGCCCACAGGTTTAGCATTTCCTGCCACCAAAGCCCCCTTCCCCATCTTGGAGCCATCTGTATAGATTGTTAAGGCTCCTTCTAATGGGTGAGGCGAGGTAATCCTGGGGAAATACACCAAATTTTTCTCCACAAAATTTATCAAGGGGTATCTTGGCACATGATTGTCAATAACATTTGGGAATGCACAAAGCAGGATAGCCCAGCCATCCACCGTGGCTGTCAAAACCTCTACCTGTTCCCTTGTATAGGGAATTACCAACTTGTCAGGCATTCTCGCAAAGTAGGCTAAGCAAAGCTTTATTCCCATTAATGCTTGGCCAGCCACCAATTCTGGATAATATTGAACAGTTCTTGCTCCCATGGAATTTCCATGCATCCACCAGGCCTGAAAAAACTTTTCCTTCTATTTCCAAATTTAAAACTGGCCGCTGATCAAGCTCCAAGGATAAACAAGCCAAATCCATTCCTGCAGATCCAAGGCTTTTATCCTTTAGGACAAACCTTTCTGCTGGAAGTTTATTACACCCTGAAGGCAGAACCAAGAGTTGAGCCACTCTGTCTCCTGGGGCGATGGAAATTACCCTGTATGGAGAATGGCAAAGAATCTTAATTCAGCCTTTTTTAGCAAATCCTACCAGCCTGCGCCACCAGAGCTGGCCTTAATATTGGGCTGAATAGCCAACCTTAAAACATTATTTTTTTTAATTGGCCTGCACCTTTGTGGCAGGTCTTTGAATTGGGCTGAATGGCCAGCCCCAAAACATCTTTTAGAATCACGTCCATCTGGAACTTTTCCAGGGGCAGAAAATAATTATCTGATCCAGTACATGAGCATTTACATAACTGGATAGAATTCTTAAAATTGTTATCTTTATGGGGGCACAAGATCTCATTATAGGTGGTTGTGAGGCACCATATGGTTGCTGGGAATTGAACTCCCAGCATTGAACTCAGGACCTTTGGAAGAGCAGGCAATGCTCTTAACCACTGAGCCATCTCTCCAGCCCCCTTTCTTAGCTCTCTATTGAGATGGAAAATCCTTGAGCTAGCAGCCTTAACGTTGTTTGCCCCGCCCATTGCCCCAGGCTATTGGTCCACCTTTGTTATCTAGGATACTGGCAACCTGGTGAAGCTACTCTCCAGCTATGGTGGGCTTTCTGAGCTAGCCCAAAGGTAGCAACTGCCTGCCAAAAAACCGTAGGCTCGTGGCCTCTGTCAGCTTAAAGGCATTTGTGTCTGGCCTGGCCTTAGTTGCAGGCGTGCGCAGCCTTTGCTCTGTTGGCATCATTTCAAGCTTTACATAACATTACAGACAGCCTCCGATGTAATCCGGGCCTCAGCTCGCCCATGTCACTATGGAGATATGTCTTCCCTCTGAAGCTGCCGAGGTGGCAATTCCCCCCCCACAACCTGCATTGCGCCCGGTGTTGCCCTGCGTCTTTCTCCCAAAGCCCCCACCCGGGAGATGCTGGAGTCAGCCAGGAGCCTAGCGTGCCCGCCACTTCAGTGTTGCTGATAGCCGCTGCCACTGTCGACCCCAGTCAGGCATCGCCGCTTTTTTCGGCTGCCTAGCACTCTCCTTTTTATCTTGTCAGTGCGGCTGTGTCGCTGCTTCTCTCCCCTCCTTGACCTGCCTGTTATGGCCCTGCCGCTCATAGGCAGGGCCCGGCGGCTGCCTGCGCTCCTCCCCGCTCCATCCAGCAGCCTGTCTCTCTGTTCCTAAGTGCCTAGGAAACAAACTATCATCGGGCGCAAGTTGTGCTTGCCAGCCTGTTTTCCTCAACCAAAATTAAAGTTTTCTGTACGTCAGAGCCAGGGACTGAGCTTTCTCATCAAAATTAGACAAAAATCACCTCAAAAGCTCTGTGGTTCTTCAAGAACAGGGAAGGCAGTCGTCAAACACTACCAAGTCTGCCTCCCTATAAAACTACAGCCCCCAGTCGCTGCCAGTGAGTACGTAGGTGGAGGGACGAACGGGGGAGGGGCAGAAGCCGCAGGCGCCGCGGGTCTCCCGTACCCATACCCCGTCATAAACACGTCCTCATTGCCCCACCTTCGGTTACCTCTCTTTTTCTCATATCTGGCAGCTGTTTTCTCAAGCTCCTCCTGCACTGAACTTATGGGGTTTTTCTTCCCCGTTTCTTTTGTTACTATTTGCGGATCCTTTTTCTTTGATATTTCCTTTCTTCTTTTAGGCCTATTCTGTATCCTCCCCTTTATGATATGATTCTGAAAGGCTGTCCTGGTGCTTCTGTACCAACCCCAGCAATCAGCATACCTGGAGGATTTTCCCAACGTCACTGCTCCGTGAGCAGAGTTTTGAATCGCGGGTTTTTAGTACCAGTTGTGGTGCGCTCCTGGACCAGCAAGGAAGAACGACCACAGATTGAGGATTCTTCTCTGATCACACTTTATTGGAGCCTCTCGGTTGAAGGGAGAGTGAGGAACGGGGGAGAGAGAGAGAGAGAGAGAGAGAGAGAGAGAGAGAGAGAAAAGACAGAGAGAGGGAGAGCAGGCGAGAGAGAGAAAGCGAAAGAAAGAGAGACCCAAGCAGCAGCTGCTTTTCTAGGGTGGAGAGGCTCGGACATTGTCCTGATTGGTGAATACCATTTTGCTGAAACCCAGGGCTTTGGGATAGGCAAGGGAACCAAGGCTCAGTTATGCAAATGCAGGCCAAGGCCCACTCAGCAACTTCAAAAGGATTTGTTTACCTCCAAGCTGCAGGACGACCTGCGCCATCTTATAATGGCGATTTCTTCAGGTGGCTCTTTACAGCCTTCAATGTCATTACTCCCACCCTGCTCATCTTGGCCTCTTGCATGTTCATCATTGCTGCCATCCTGAGGATCCGCTCCAACCAAAGCCGCCTCAAGACCTTCTCCACCTGCTCCTCCCACCTCATCTCTGTGACCTTGTACTATGGCTCCATTCTCTACATCTACTCTCGCCCAAGCTCCAGTTACTCCTTATAGAGGAACAAAATGGTATTGACCTTTTATACTGTATTGTTCCCCATGTTGAACCCCATGATCTACAGTCTGAGGAATAAAGATGTGAAGGAAGCACTGAGAAAACTCTTCCAGTTAGCTCCTTCTAATGTCTAAGTGTATCTGCACCAAGCAAGCAAAAGACTAAGTGATAACAAACTAATGAGAGCCAGGTTGGAAAACTGAGTATAAAAAAATAAATTTTCTATTATTTGAAATTCCACCAAAAATTTTTCATGTTTTTTTAAACATATAATTGTTTTTAAGTATAATAAATAATGAGTTCAATTGTAATATATTCAGGTTTCTATATAATGAACTTTGCTCATGTTCCCTTCATATACACTTATATCTAATTATGAACTAGGCTTATGCTATTATTAAAGCAGCTTTTAAAGGGTGGAACTTGAGTTGAGTGTGAGAGTGGAAAGCATGTAATACTTTCTCAGATGACTGGAGTTCATTTTATTTTCCTTCCTAATCACTACCCAATTATCATCTTCAATAACATGAATATGTAAAAGAAATATCCTATAGAATGATGATAGGTTGGGAATTTACCTTAATTTCTTTTGTCCAAATACTATCAAGGATTCTTCAATAATAGTGAATATGAACATGAGTATGTAATGTCAAAATTAATTTTAAAAAAATAGAGGGGGAATACATTTTTTTAAGAGAAAGTAGGGGAAAAGTGAAGATGAGAAATTTGGATGCAATAAACCCAACATAGTGTCTGTACATCTTTGTTGTGGTTTTGAATTTTACTGGACTTAAAATGGTCTCACTTTACCAATTGTAGCACAATACCTGTTCAAGAGTAGGTTGAACTATGCTTTTGTGGTTGGACAGTTTCTTCTGAGACTAAAACCTTCCAACTAAGAGGAGGGCTCATTAAAACATAGGAAGGTAAACCAATAGAATTTCTAAAGTCAGGTGAAATAGTCTATCTAGTAGGAAACTCTCCTGAAGCTCAGAAAGTAAACATATCAATACAACTTTAATAAGTCTCTAAGACTGATCAGTCTCTAGACTTCTCCTCCCCAAGCATGTATACTCGATAAGCTGTGCTCAGATACACTCTCAAACAAGCATTGTGGGAGGAGTTGAGAACAAAGTCCTACTTCTAGCTGAGGACTTGATATCTTCTGGGAAAGGGAGAGAAGGTTTTCTTTAAGAGTTTCACCTATGACAGGTTAACCATGCTCCAGAGGATGGCCCCCACACAAGAATATATGGGCAATATGAACAGGAGAAGATGGACATTAGAAGCAAAGAATAAGGATATGACAGTGAAATAAGGAAATAAATCATAATTGGGAAATTTTGGGACAGAGGGCTTGAATGTAACCAAAAAATACTTTGTGTAGACTTCTCAATGAAGTTATATAAATGTCATTTAAAGAAGACAAATTACACAACACAGTGTGAAGCAATCATGCTGCAGCATCCACATGGATTGGCTCATGAGAATTCATCATCTCTGCAGCATTTCCATTCCATGTTGTCTTCACTGGAGATTGTATCTATCTGGTCACAAATGTGAGTTCCAAAAAATTAAAGAAACTCATGCTACTAGTGTGAACAGCACAGAGCAGCGAAAATAATGGAATCAAGAGTAACATACTTGTTCTGTCTTATTGAGGTTTTCCAGTAAACCTTTATCACATGATGTCCCAATACAAACATTTTCCTCTTGAAATAATTGGTGCTGGCAGAAGCAAATGTGCCTCATTGTTATGAAAAGTTCTATATTCTTAAACATTTTGAATGTCATATTCTGACGATCTTTGAAAGGTTTGAAGAATGTCTATCCATATGAAATACATATCTGTCCATCTAGAAAATCTAATTAACATGACTGCAAGCTTGACTATTATAGATGATTATCAATTAACCTATGTTTTTAAATTATACATTACATTTCTAAATGAGCTAGACAAACATAATACCTTAATCAAGATCAGAAATACATATACACAGTATAACAAAATTGACCTTAAATTTCTATCAGTAAACCAAGATCCGTACCGATGCAAATACCTATAGCATACACCCCTATAAATGTAAAAGAATCTCAAATGGTCAAAAAACACTTAAAGAAATTTTTAATATTCTTATTTATTTATTTATTTATTAAAAATTTCCACCTCCTCCCTGCCTCCCCCTTCCCTCTACCTCCCCAGCTTCCCCTCCCTCTCCAGTCCTAAGAACAGTCAGGGCTCCCTGCCCCATGGGAAGTCCAAAGAAGAATGCAAATCAAAAGGACTCAAAGACATTTTTACTAATATTAAAAAATTTTATACATTGTATTTGATCATACCCTAATTAATGCTGTCTATATACTATTATTTATATAGTTAAACACTGGATTACTTTAACAGTAGCCGGACAATTAAAGAAAACTAAATCTCTATCTCCCAACAACTCTCAATTACCAATTCTCAGTTTGAGGCATGATTTCAGATCCAACCACTCCTTTAGTGATGAAATTTGGTCTAGCTTAAGCTCATGCAGGTCTTGTATATTCTATAACAACCACTGTGAATTATATGTGAAATTACCCTACTGCATCTGGAAAAACACTTTTTTCTTATATTCATTTGTTTCCCATGACTCTTATAGTCTTTCTGCCCCCCTGTTGCATAATGATGCCATATCCTGGAAAGGAAGACATGTAATAAACATGTTCTTTTTAGTTCTGAGCACTCTCTAGACATTTATTCTCGGCATGTCTATAAGTTGTGACCCTTTGTGTTAGGTTAGTACATGCTTATTACAAATTAAAGCCCCTTCAGTGAGGTTTGATGAGTTATATCTTCAATCCAGTTATTTTGATCTGGTTGTTAGTGTATAGCTCATTGGCAATCAGTGCAGGTATAGTTTATGTACCCGTTGCCAGGATCTGCTCACAGAAATTGATCATCTTGCAAGATAGAATCTTTACTCATTTCCTGTTCCCTCCAGTCCTGCGCAACCATGACACTTTGTTTCTGTGAGTTTAATTTCTAAGTGTTTTGTAAATAGAATTACTCAGTACCTATCTTTTCAGTAATATTTTGTTTTTCCTAGCATAATGTCTCCAAATTGTATCCATGTTATGGCATGTATTAGAATTTTCTCCTATATATGAATATGGATATAGATATATGATTTCATGCTTGACTTACAATTTTATTGGCCCCTATAAGCTCATAGGAAGTAGTACTATTAGGAGGTGTTGCCTTGTTGGAATAGGTGTTGCCTTTTTGGAGGGAGTGTGTCATTGTGGGAATGGGCTTTGAGGTTTCCTATGTTCAAACTATGCCTGGTGTGGACAGAGACAGTTCATTTCCTGTTGCTTACAGATCAAGATGCAGAACTATCAGCTCCTTCTCCAGCACCATGACTGCCTGAAGGCCACCATGTGTTACTACCACGATGATAATGAACCACAGAAACTGTAAGCTAGCCTCAACTAAATGGTTTCCTTTACAAAAGTTGTTCATGGTGCCTTTTCACAGAAATTGAAACCCTTACTAAGACACCTTTAATATCATTAGGTTGCTAGGTTGCTTTACATTTAAGCCATTGTTGTAAGTAAATACAAGTATAAATATCTAATTTCTAAACCAGATTCACAAATCTATGAATAAAATGAAGAGTTATTTTGATGTGCTTCTCCATGAACAACATGCATGCCTATTGCTCAAAGATATAAGAAGGAAGAACCATATCCCCTGGAACTGGAGTCACAGATGCTTACAAGGCTCAATTTGGGGTTTCAGAACTAGATCCCCTAGAACAGAAACCAATGTTCTTAACTGCTGAGTCATCATCTTTCTTGACTTCTAGTATGACTTTCTAACCACTCTTATTCGCATTAAGTGATGTACGTACTTTGCAGTTATCAGATCCAGATTTAGATTCCAGTTTGTTTACCAATGTAAATGGCTTGAAATCGACCATTGAATACATCAAACACTGCTAATAATTCTATAAACATTTATATAATTTCTATATAATTTCACTTTGAGATATTAAAGTAAAGGCAAGTTGCAAAATGTTTTCTGAAACATTAAAGTTTCTCATAATCCCACTGTCCTTATCAAATAGATTTCAACATGACAAGTGTAACAGTTTTGTTAAGTGATTCAACTTCATTCAGCCTAGATGCTGATGAAGAAATTTCATGTGTTTGTGTGTGTATGTGTGTGTGTGTTTGTGTGTGTGTGTGTGTGTGTGTGTGTGTGCATTCTATTCAGGTGTTCAGGCGTAAGGAAAAATGGAATCTGCTAAAAGTAGATGGAAAGTATTATTCTAAGTGAGGTTATCTAACCTCAGAAAAACAAATATTCCATGTTCTCCCATCTATGAAGTCCAGATTTTAATGCACTCTGTGCACACCTGCACACACACGCACACACAAACAAGTATGAGAATAAACTTTGCAATCTGAAGGGGAGAAGAAGATGTTGGAGAGGAACTGAAGAAGAACAAGAACTAAGGATGAAGATGGACAGGAGTTTTCAGGGACAAACAAAAGAGGTGGCAGAGGGTTAAGGAGAAAAGAAAAGCAAAATCAACAAAAACAAATTCTGATTGAAAAATAATAATGAAACCCAATACTTTGTGTTATCATTAAATTATAAATGAGGTTTTGGAGAAAGTTCAGTGAGTACATAAGGATATGAATTGGAGTTCTCAAATTTCACATAAATCGAAGCACATGTGGCACATCCTGGAGTTCCTGTGAGGAGCTTGGAGGCAGAGACAGGAAATAAGAGGATTCCTGAACACTTGCAGTCTGACCTACACAGCAGTGAACAGCATACAAAGCCTATTTAAAAACAAAAAGTGGAAGCAGAGGTGGATCACTGACCTCCAGTTGCACACCATGACACTTTTGTTCTGCTGGCATGGACACATACCACCACACGCATACATACACAAAACATACACAGAGATTAATAAATGAATAAAAATAATAAGAAGAAACAAATATATTTGTGACATTAAAATGTTGAACATGGACACTATTTATTCTATACATTTGTACAATTATTAAAATAACTTAAAATAAAAATGAGAAAACGATAATCTTATGTGTGCAGAAAGAAATTATTTTCATTTTAATA